CCCAAATCTTCTTTTACAGTTGATCGGATACTGAGAAGAACTAATGGTAGGTGTTCACTCCACTTAGATGAGTCAGCTTGTGCCATAAGCGAGCTTTTCAGTTGTCGATGGAAACGTTCCACCAGACCATTCGCTGCAGGATGATAAGCTGTAGTGGAGATATGGTTCACTCCAAGGAGTCTCGTAAACTCTCGAAACAGAGTTGATTGAAATTGAGCTCCTCGGTCTGTTGTAATAGTTGTGGGTACTCCGTAGTTTGACACCCAGCGATCTAAGAAAACCAAAGCGATATTTTCTGCAGATATATCGTTGAGTGGACAAGCAATAGCCCATCGGGTAAATCGATCAATCGCAGTAAGTATATGAGTAAATCCTCTGGATGGCGGTAATGGTCCAATAATATCTATATGAACGTGTTGAAATCGTTTATCCGGTAAATTGAACTGTTTTGGAGGTGTGACGGTATGATGATGTACCTTGGATCTTTGACATTGCAAGCATTGGCGGGCCCATTTCCGAATATCGGAGTTCATCTTGGGCCAAACAAAACGCTCGCTGATTAACTTGACCGTAGCACGCACTCCAGGATGAGACAATGAATGTAGATGTTCAAACAAAGGTTTTCGACAACTTAGTGGAACAAAAGGTCTATGAACGCCCGTTGAAACGTCGCAGACGATAGTTGTATCAGACAGGGGAATAGGTACATCCTGCAACTGTAGGGAGGAGTTTCGTCTACAAGTATGGAGTTCGGCGTCATTTTTCTGCAGCTTGGCAATATTGTCTAAGCTAATATCTATCGAAGATAGGTGATTAACGTCACATCGAGACAAAGAATCGGCTACGATATTGGAATCTCCTTTGATGAACTGGATGTCTGTTGAGAATTGTGAGATGTAATCCAGTTGTCTGGCTTCTCTCGGAGAGTGTCTGTCCAACGAAGTGGTGAAAGCATAACAAAGAGGCTTATGGTCGGTTAAGATAGTAAAATGTCGACCTTGTAGTAAGAAGCTGAAATGTTTCACTGCTAGGTAGATGGCTAACAGTTCTCTGCCAAAAGTGCTGTAACGAGTTTGCGCAGGTTCCAACTTTTTGGAGAAGAAAGCAAGTGGAGTGATGTCATTATTGAACTTTTGTTGTAAAACTGCTCCCACTGCTACCTGCGATGCATCTGTACATAAAATGAGTGAAGCTTCTGGGTTGATATGAGATAACATTACAACGTTGGATAAGGCATCTTTTGCATTATTAAATGCTGCTTTTGCTTCTTCAGACCACTGAAATTTCTTCGAATTGCATCTAAGTAGGTCGGTCAGTGGCTGAACTATGGAGGCACATGATGGAATAAAACGTCGGTAGAAGTTGAACATCCCGAGAAAACGTCTAAGTTTCTTTAAGGAATCAGGTTCGGGAAAGTTCTTAATAGTTTTTATCTTATCTTCGGTAGGTCTGATGCCTTCGGCAGTTATTCGATGTCCTAAGAATTCAATGGAAGGGGAACCAAAAATACATTTCTTTGGATTGATAACAACTCCAAATTGTTCAAACCTTTGAAATAACAGGCTTAAGTGTTCCATATGTTCTTCCATCGATGAGCTGGCAATTAAGACATCGTCGATATATACAAAGACGAAATCAAGACCTTGGGTAACTTGGTCCATAAAACGCTGAAATGTTTGAGCAGCATTCTTTAGTCCGAAAGGCATTCTCAAGAATTCGAATAATCCAAAAGGCGTGATAATTGCTGTTTTTGCAATGTCTTCTGGAGCGACTGGTATTTGATGATATGCCCTGACCAAGTCAACTTTAGTAAAAATGGTCTTTCCATGTAAGGTCAAGGAGAAGTCGTGGAGATGAGGTATAGGATAACGGTCTGGGACCGTAGCGTTATTCAAAGCGCGATAATCTCCACATGGTCGCCAGTCATGATTAGTTTTAGGTACCATGTGCAAAGGTGAAGACCATGGGCTGTTAGATGGTCGTATGATACCTAGCTGCATCATATGTTCGAATTCCGACTTAGCTGCTGCTAGTTTATCGGGTGGTAACCGTCGTGGACGTGCCTTCACAGGTTGTCCTGTTGTGATGATCTTATGCGTAACTGTATGAGATATATCTTCGACGTTGTATGATGGTTTAAGGATTTTAGGAAATCGTTGCAATAAAGCAGAGAACATTTCACTCTCCGGCTTTTCTATACAGATGCTATGAACAGAGTAGTCACATGTAATACCGTGGATCTTGAGTTGGGTGCAATTGTCAACCAGTTTTTTCTTGCTGATATCAACCAACAGATTGAAGTGACTTAGGAAGTCTGCACCTAGTATAGCGTGACGTACGTCAGCTACTATGAAGATCCATGTGAAACGTCGGCGTAATCCTAGGTTTAAAATCATTGACTGTTCGCCATACGTCTGTATGTTGGTTTGGTTGGCAGCACGAAGTGAAAGTTTTCCAGGTATTTTGGCTGATCGCCTGGATAGTGAGGGGGGAATAACACTGACCTCGGCGCCTGTATCTACCAGGAATAATGTGCCGGTAGTCAAATCCCTCACATAGAAAAGGCGACTGGGGTGATTGCCATTAACAGCCGTCGCCATTACTGTCTGGCTGGGGAGTTTCCCTGAGATGAGTTACTACTGTTGTACATACACGGTCGAAGACACTTCAGGGCATTATGCCCATACCTCCTATGATACCAACAAATGTTACGGCTTTGGGACGGTGTTCTAGAACGTCGTCTAGATCTTGATCGCCGTTGCTTGGATACCGTATGTGACTGGTTCCTTTGTGCTCGAAGCTCGGACACTTCCAGTCGTAAGTCTTGCATTTGAGATGTTAACTGGGAAAGTAACCAAAACAGTGGTGCGTCCTTCATAGATGTGGAATCCGGCAAGGCGGTAACAGGAGAGTTCTGTGTCACTTCGCCTTTATGAAGTTCTTCGGGAATAGTGACACGTTTATATGGAGCCATTGTCAAAAAAATATTTAAGTATAGAGATATACAAAATAGCAAAACTTGTGGTAACAAAAATTAAAGCAATGCGAGTTTATAAGGCCAAAATAGCAACAAAAATGTTCAAAACGAGTTAACTATCGAAACAAAAAGGTTCGAAAACGGGTTAACCATAAAAAAAGGTTCGAAACGGGCTCACCAATTATTGTGGTGGACCTTTTACTCTGTTAGCTTAGTTACCCAAATTCAAATAGAAAATAAAGTACCAAATCAGTTTAGTTACGGGAAGAATGTATTAAAGTTTGGTTACTTGGGTTTACAAAGATCCAAAGTCCACAATAAACGTTATAGACTCCAGGTGCTGCGGGAAGACTGCTCCAGTACTAATTCTCCAATGTTGACGTTGCCGGAGGTCGACCAAAGTACGTAGGAAGAACTACGGTGCTCCTGCAAAAATTTGAGATAGAAAGCAGGTGATTAAAATTGATCGACGGCAGTTGAGATGGTGGAGAAGACGGAGAGTCGAAGGCAGAACTATATATTTATTCAAAACCCGAGGTAAAGTTCAAAGTACAGAGTTTATGGTTAAAACAAAGTAGTGTACAATATGTTCATTATTTACATAGTAGTAAAATTTGGATAAGTTTATTTTTGAGGACTCCACAAACTTCGTGGTTCTCCCTTTTCTCTCCTCATTCCCTTCAGTGTTTTTCATTTTCAGCCACAGAAAACTATTATTTCAATTTGTTCCCAGGCTTATCCTGGGTTCGAACCCCTGTGGTAGGTGCGTACTGCTGAAGAGCCCCAAACTAGGACGAAACAGCTGTCCAGTACTCCCAGGTTTTCCAACGGTTCTCTAACTGATGTCAGCTCATAATGAAATCCTGTAAACAAACAGACCGCTTACTGAAAAAATCAAGACATATTTATATTTTTTTATTTACATTATTATTCGTTAATGTTACTAGAGAAACAACGTCTTCTGATTAGTTGTTTTTCTGCTGAAGATTAGTCTGTCATCTCTTTGTGGCCGTTTCATAGACAGTCCGTTGATATATCTGCGAATCTCTAAGTCTGTTGTGATTGGTTGTTGATTTCCTCAATGCTAGTCTTTGTTCTTGTCTTCTCTCCTGACCCCGATTCGGGACGCAAACATTGACGTAGATTGTTGTCTACCACGATATAAACTTGTATATCAATTTGTCAACAGTTTTTTACATGCATGTCAGTGGAACTAAGTGTTTGTCTCATGTCTCAGTAGGTGGGTCAACTTTCGCAATTCTTTGATCTGCAGTCCAACCGATAGCCGCTACTCTGATTTGGTGGTCAGATTCACATGTTATAGTCACCTAATAAGCTATATTGACTGAAGCGAATGTTCCTGCAGGTGCTACTGTGCCACAAAGGTTGTTTAAATAGCGATTAGTCTAAAAGCAGTTTCCAACCTAGTGTAAATTGTTTATAGTATGTTTAGCGTTGGAGGGCAGGATCGCATTCCTGGAAAGTAGGGATATAGCATAAGACGAGCAGCTACGTGGCCTCTCTGTTGTGAGGAGTGTAGCTGAGAAAGTAGGCCGAATTTAAGTTCTTCATATGGACATAAATCAAAACACTATTTCAAATAGGCTGGTCACAAGTATTTGTCACTTGGACATTGTATTTATATTTTCTTTATTGTTCCCTTGAGTCCCGAGTGGTACATAGGGCTTCAACAGCACATCTTCACTTCGTCCTGTCCTCTGCAGTCCTCGTTAGCTAGCCCCTCGATCGCCCACAATGTCTCATGTACTCTCGGATCGACACCCAACTCGTTGTCTCCCATTCAGTTTCCACTTTAGGTTTTGCCTGGCGCGATATGTCATTCGACGGTCTCCTCAGCTTGCGTCCTATCTATCTCCATTTTCTTTGGAATGGAATATTTGTAGACCAATAGGTTATTGATTGGCCCCTTCCCAGAGTTTGTTGTTCCCGATTCTTTCTGGCCAGTCAGTTCATCTTCAATATGCAGCCATGGAAGTGGGAAGCTGTTGATAAAAGTGTGCATATGGCTGTTAGAAATGCTTTCCATAACGCGTAAGCCATGCTTCTGACGCATACAGAAGAAGTGACTGACTGTCTTAAGATTGGTGTTGAAAATCTGAACCTTCGTGTTGTTTATGCTGCTGACTGCAGTAGATTTCCAGTCTGATTTCAGAGCGGTGAAGCTGTGGATTCTGTCTAGCTATGACATCCCCATCAGTACCGTCTGCATGTAGTTGAAACGATGTTTCGTAGATGAGTGAAAGACGCGAAGTCTTCTAAATTTATTCAGTCGATAGTGATTGGTGCTGTTGGTTGATTATCTGCATCACCTCCGACTTCTCTATGTTCACCTGGATTTCTGTCTTCGCTGTCAGCCTCTTCAGCCAGTAGATATTCGAAACTGTATGACACCAGACGTATGTTGTCGGTAAAGTCCAACTCTTTTAGAGTCTTCTTATCGGTTAAACATATTCCTGTTTGTTATAGATTATTTAAATTAATCCCAGCGTGTTAAGAAAATCAAAACAAGATTTTTCTGAACGTTTCGCCGTGTAAGCCACAACTTCTTCAGCAGATTTATTCGGATTATAATTAATCATCAAAATATATAGTCAAAATTTTTTACATAAACTGAAGTCATTTTATTTGAAGGTCATTTGTCCATAGACATTTTTTACCAACAGAAATATGTAAGCAGTCATCACATATACAATTGGTGGATGGTGGCTAGCAGTGGAATCCAGGATGCGCATTTCGTCCTATTTGGGACTCGTCATCTGGATGTACCTGCATTTTCAAGCATTGGTTTTGTAGGGATTTTGTTTGATTGCATGGAGGATTTAATCACATCGAAGCATCTGCACAAGAAGCCGACATGTCAACCTGAGACCGAGCACTTCGGTCCAATCAATCGACGGGAAAATCCAAAAAAAATCCAATTCAATAACTAATATGACCCGTTGCACAAGAGGTGGCTCTCGTGGCCCAAGTGGTCTAGTGGATAACGCTTTGGCGTTCGAAACTATGGGTATTGAGTTCGAGCCTCGGTGGGAACATCATCACTCACTGAGAAATGCAGGTACATCCAGCTGACGAGTCCCAAATAGGACGAAATGCGCATCCTGGATTCCACTGCTAGTCACCATCCACCAATTGTATCCTAACTAAATGCCCAGACATCGTCGAAGCATCTGCACAAGAAGCCGACATGTCAACCTGAGACCGAGCACTTCGGTCCAATCAATCGACGGGAAAATCAAAAAAAAAATCCAAGTAATCACATATGTTTGTAATGACTAATGTCAAATTGTTGTTGTGTTTACTCTTCTATAGTTGATTTGTAAAGATTAGATTTGTATGTGTGTGTATGTATGTTATTTGTCGTATGGAAAATACGTGAATTCATATGTGATAAACGTGTCACTACGTGTTTTAAAAGGTCATGGAGGCTCATAGAGTGTTTGTTGTTTTTTCATTTGTCTTCCTTCATAAGAGTTTCCCATATAGGTGATAAGTCTATCCCTTCTTTCCTATTCACTGCATTCTATGTGGTTAAAGTGTGGAAGACTTCCGAAGTCAATCTTTCTTTATGTGAATGAAATCCTCTTCCAAGAATTTCGACATTGTCGAAATCAATCTTATGTCTACTGTCTATCGCATGCATTGCTATAGCCGATCTTTTTTCTAGACTTTTTAATTCTACTTGATTTCTAGGTGGACGTTTCGTGTATAGTCTATGTTCATTCACTCTAACATTCACCTGCCTACTGCTCTTCCCTATATAGCATGCCTCACATTCTGAACACTTTATCTTGTAGACACAATTACTTTGTGACATTTTGGGAACTATATCTTTGACATGCACTAAAGCTTTCTCTAGACAATTAGAAGGTTTGACACAGACTTTAATATTATATGCAGCAAATAATCTTTGAAGTTGTTCAGCTGTGTCTTTTCGATATGAAATGGCTATCGTCGATAGCCAGGATTTTTTAACTTTTTGTTTTTCTCTATGCTCCTTTCTATTGATGATATTATCAAGTAGCTTTTCAGGATAGCCATTTCCAATCAAAATCTGTTTTATATTGGTTATCTCTTTCTCCATATCGTCATTATCAGTTATAATGTTTCTAGCTCTGTTAAAGAGATTTAAAGCTACTGAGACTTTCATTCCTATTGGATGATCTGATTGGAAATTCAAATACTTATTGGAATGTGTCGGCTTTCTGTATATGGTAAACTTTAGTTTCTCGTCAGTTTGTCTATTTACAAGACAATCAAGAAAGTTTAGAGTTCCCTCAGCCGATTCTATTTCATTAGTAAACTCAATATATTCTGAGATTAAGTTAATTTCCGTTAGAAAGTTGTTTTTTTCTATATTTTTTATAATATTTTTTTATATTATTTTATGTTTATATATAATTTATAATGAATCAATCTGACTCGGCGCTCAAATTATTCCAGGAAGTTCGTAACACCTACGGTCTGGAAACCCATAATATTCCTGTCTGTTCTAGCTGCCCACACAGTTTTCGGCAGTTAATTTCCTAAATCTCACATTTCATTGTTTTCTTGGTTTGACTGTTTCCCTTCGTTTCTCTGCCTCACCTCACAAATTGCCGATTACAAATCAAACAGTCATGATAATGGTGATAACACTGACGATAATGAAAAATCACTGAAAGAATTCGACAACTGGCTGTCAAACCCTTCATCTGCCTATTCCACAATTCATCCTAGAAGAAATTTCTTGAAATTTGCTACAAATTTAAAATCAGGCCAACGTGGTCTAATTGCTTGTTGTAATATCAATGCTAATCAGTGTATTTACTCTATCCCACTGAAGGATCTACGTTATATTCTCACTCCATTAAGATGCACTTTTCTTCTGAATACATGTCAATGTTTTCTTACGAAAGAGTTTAAACACGACTACAAAATCCAGTTAAATTCATTTGATATTCTTGTCACATTTATCTATCATTGTAAGTATTCAAGTAGTGCGCAAAGAGATTGTTTTATACAGAATATTTGGTCACCGTATATCAATGTTCTACCAAATCGTCATCCTAATCCTGTATCATATATTCTATCGTCTACTGATTATAATAACAGTGGTATATCCACTGAGACTTGCACAGCAAACTCTTAGCTTTATTTTCATTCCTATGATATCAATATGGCCTTTAGAAATATATTAAGACGCGTAACAAAATCATGGCATAATATTAAACCTCTGTTGTGTCATATTTCTAATCAAAATGAGCATACAAGCGATACACCGTCGAATGAATTTCTATGGGCATGGTTTACTGCCAATTCTCGGTGTGTTTCATGTCCAATGAAACAAGAGTCAATCTTAAATATTCAACAATTTTTCAAGCCTTTTTTAAATCTTATTCACAAAATGGAGAGCGTCATTTGAATATGACTACTGAGAATATTATTCAACTGAAAGATGATACTACTTCTACTACTACTAATACTGATAATAATAATGATGGGGCACATACAATTGCTCTAATACCATTTTCTGATTTTTTCAATCATAATCCAAATATTGCTACTAACACTAGGTTGGTTTTATCAAACGATACTAATACATTGGAATTATATTTAGATCAAGAAGTTTCTGAAAATGAACAGGTGAATGTTTATATTTTGTGTGCAAAGATGGTGTATTATTTACTTGATATTATGGCTAATGATCTGTAGAGGAATCCTTGATAGGCGTGTTATTTGTCTACTTGTAAAAACAGAATAAAAGGGACCACACAACAGATCGTTTATTGAGGAAATCAAGAGATATTTATAGATTTTTATGTACATTATTATTAGCCTTATTGTTAGCAGAGAGGTAACGTCTTCTGATTGGTTGTTTTCCTGCCGAAGGTCATTCTGTCGTCGCTTTGTGGCCGTTTCTTAGACAGTCCGGTGATATATATCCGCTAATCATGTCCACCCACACAAAGTCTGCTGTGACTGGTTATTGGGTTAGTCTTTGACCTTGTTTTTTTCTCATGACCAAGATTTGGGATGTAAACATTGACGTAAATTGCTGTCTACCAATTTTGGCTAGCAGACTGCTCTCACCACATACTATTTGAGAATGTTTCAGCTGGATTTACCTGCATATCCACAGTGAGTGTTAGTGTTCCAATTTGAAGAGAGATAAACTCAGCATCCATCTTGTCAAATACCAAAAGCATTCACTGTCTACTAGACCTAGTGATTACATCATGAAAATGATTGAATGCTGTCATTTGCTACCCTGCTGGCTAATAGAACTCAGGCTTAAGTATATATATATATATATATATATATATATATATATATATATATATATGGCGTCACAAGACGTATCAGTAGTGTGTACAAAGACCTTAACTGCCATACAAAAATATCAAATAACCGAGAAATAGATATGACGTCAAGGAGAGGAAATGAACCAGTATGTCGGCGAAACACGGGAGACACGAAAAGAAGACAAGTAAACACACTACGAAGGACAGAATTAGCACAGCACGGAAGATGATTGTATTTTCAAACTAACATGGTTATCTTCTACATTTTTGCCGTTTCTGTTCCTGCTATCTCACTGTACTCATGCATACAATTAGATCTGTGCCTTGTATTTCCGGTCGCTTACACCGTGTTAATTACGGCACTTTCTCTTAGATAATCAACTGCCAGTTTTGTTCTCCGTAACTGACGCACAACAATGAATGGAAACGTTAATTTGCGAATTCCAGTATGAACGCTGCAATTGAAAGTGCGTATGACTTTTAACGCCAGGCCCCCTACTGTCTGGAGTTCTAATGAATACGGTCTGACATTCTACATAGATTTGCGTCTACAAGTGAGATTACCGCCCCTGTATCTACTAAACATACAAAATCTCTCTCATTAACTCAAAACCTAGAATACATTGCCCCCATCGCGATCGCAGCCATTAGTTGTAGTCTTATAGCGAGAAGAAAGAACACACATTATATTGCTTAAGGTTTTTCTTTTACTGTCTTTTCAAGAGCAGTATTTCCTCCACTGTCCTATTTTGCCACATTCAGGACGCTTGTCTCTTCTGACGCTCATTCTTAGCACCCCTACTTCCTGCTGCAAATCTGCCATTTCTCGTTCCTATTGGTTCATTTTTGGTGGCTATTGCGCCTGCCGTTTCGCTCAACGGCTGTCTGGTCACCTTTGCTAGCTGACCAATGTCCACGGGTTGTAAAGCATTAACTAATTGTAATTGCTGAGAAATGTGGTCTGAAACACTCTCGATGAACTGGAAAGTCGGTAACTGCAACGCTGACTCGTCATCCAGTGTGGGGAGTGTGCGACGAAATAGATTTGGTCAGCTTTAGTGCCGACAATAACGAGTCTCAGTCAGGTCCTAGCTTCGCGGTACGGGAGTTCTGCATTGTCAGCTTTCTGTCTGTCGTGTCGTCGAACTCCTTCTCTAATCGTTCAACCAACATCTTCCAGGTTTCTTTACTACATAATCGCCCAGTAGGGTCCCCAGAACAACCACCTTCGGATCCTTGATGCTCGGCGACGGCACTGAAGTCCTGCAAGAAGTTCCGTGCGTCTTCTTCTTCGAATGTAGTAGGCCATGGGATCTTCATTCTCTGGAGAAAGCGGCACCAAATATGATGACAGAAGACAAGAATAGATAGTAATGCGATGTTTATTTGCAGTTTGATGTACACATGTAGAGAAATTAAGTTTACCATACGTTAAAATCGTCATTTTTTATTACAGTTTGATTCCACTTTGCATTTTTGGTACAAGTATGGAATTTTCAGCTTGTAATATCAGCAGCCCAAATTTTGCAGGCCGACCATAGATATCAGGTGTGCGTTCTGTGCTACTTCTGTCCTTCGTATTGTGTTTCTTTGTCTTTTCGTGTCTCGTTGCACCGTTGGTTCATTTCCTCTCTTTGACGTCTTGTCAGTAGCACATGCCATATATAAGGGGACAGAAATTAAATGTGGGTACTTCGGTGCTCGAAGCACTACGTACGTGCGTGTTCAGGAGCGAAGATGTAAACGAAAATCTGAACTGTACCTACCTTATTGGAATCATAGATATTTGTGTCGAATAATTCCTATTTTTAAGTTCTTGAGAGTTAAGTTGTATGTGTTGTGTTTTTATGTTCAACTGTTATGCACATCTCCTCTTGTGTTTCTGCATTTAACTCTGGTGATTTGAGTGATGATTCAAGGAGACCGAAAAAATCAGTTTTTGAATCATCCTCACTGTTGTAGTTAAATTCGTCAAGGAGCAGTTGTTCTTCCATTTTCGATAGTGATTACTTTGATAAGTCGACTACACAGTCAATTAGTGTATTGTTCAGTTGTTGTTTTAAGAACTTTTCGTCTTTGTTTTCTGTGTCTTCTACTTAACGCTGTAATCATAGTGATCAACGTTGAAAGGTGTTTCTAGCTCTGAGTGTCTTGTCTACTTCTTTCTCCCTTTTGGATATCCATTATTTGTTGATATTTCTTGATCCGATAGTGTACATCTGTAAGCATTAATTTGACCATTCGTTTTCTACATTGTTCAGTCTGTTTCCATCTCATTGAGCAAATAAAAGCCAGCTATACCCGCTGTTCCCAGCTGGTCACCTATACAAGTACTAACTGGGCCCAACATTGCTTAACTTCAGTGATTGGAGAAGAACTGGTGTTCATTTTTCATCTTCACCATTAAATCCCCAACATATCTCCACTATTCTATTCTATATTCTTGCAGATAATGTACGTATGTAAATCGATATTTGTGATATTCTTATGAATCTTGTCAGCTACACACGCCACAGTTCAACCTTTAGTATCTTTCAGATACATTAAATTCTCATTACCCTCCATCTTATTTCGCCTTCTAAATTTGAGTGCTTTCATCATAGAGTGTGTCGACTTGAAACGCAGTGGTGATTTTGTGCAAATTTCTATCCTGAAATATGAATTGAATTTAGTGCATTTCTCTCTCTCTCTCTTTCATCTTTGTCTGTCTGTTTTCAACATAGAACTTTGCACCGATGTGCAGCAGTTCGGGTCGTCACACTCCATTTAGCACACAAAACAAGAGAAGAAAGTAAAAAGAAACGCAAAATACAGACAGTAAACAGAGATACGAAGTAAAAAGAATGATAATATCCAAGAACAATACAGTTTCATTTAAATTTATAAGTCACACGCAGTGAATGCATGTGCGAACGATTTTGAGCCATATCACCGATTGTCTCCAGCCATCGGTTTTACCATCCCGAGGACCCCAAACAGGAAGTCTACACCTCTCTACTTGGCTGCCTGGCTTAAACTGACTGTTGTGGATTTCATTGACTGATGAAGCCATGTTTTGATTTGACCACCACTAGCTAGCTCTTTTCCAACCTGATCCACCCTATGTCAGTCAGCTATCATTGCCCATTATCGAGGAAGGCGATGGCTAGTCGTGCATGCGTCACACATGTCCTAACCATCATATTCGATGTAACTTCATCGATTGATTTCCCCGCCTTACCTAGCACTCGACTGATGCCTAACCTCAGTATTGCCTACCCTACTATACCACTTCACACGGGAGATAGAACGTGTTCATATTGGAACATTGGGCTTCAAGATTTGCACTTTGAAGTTATAGTAGCAGTGGCACAAGATGTTGTTCTCTTTTACGGGGTGTAGTTGCTAGTCTCACACACACACAAACTTTCCTCTGACTTACTACTGGTTAGTGAATTAGGCGAATTTCAGGAGTACATCGCCAACAGGGAAAATCGAATCCCGGATCACATGAGGCTTGGTTGACAAGCAGCCTACCACTGAGACGTCGATTCACACTTTACTTCATATTCTCACCATAAAATATTGTCTATTTATCTCTAAAATGCATATATCTAACTTTTATAAGTTAACATCTCAAAAGTGTTGATGGTGACAGTGATGATAATACGAAGTTTTGACGTACCTTGAAAACGTATTCTAATTTGGTCTTTCTGTCTCTTCCGTCTGTTCACTAATTCTATAGGTTTTTATCAATTATGGTCCACATGACAATTTAACGCTATTCACTGAATATGGATTCAGTCTTCCTTATTTGGAAACGAATGCTACTACTACTACTACTACTAATGATGTCATTTATTTAAGTTCTTGTTTTCTCATAAACTTATTTATTCAGTTATATAGTGAAATAAAAGTGACAACATATCCTCCATCTGTCATTCCTCCTCCTCCTCCTCGTCCTCTACCTTCAACAACAACAACAACTGCTGCTGCTTCCACTTCTACAACTACTTCCTTCTCTTCAGTGTCTAGCAGTCATCCGTCGCCATCCACTTCCCAGAGAAGTGAATATAAATCAGAAGGTGACCAACAATCGGATATTGTCATTATGATGCGTGAATATTTCTACTTAATTCTTGCTAAATTACACCTTCCTCAGCCGAAAACTTCATCGATTCAAGACGACATTCTATGGAGATCTGTTTATGTATCCAACAGTGTTGATTCGCATAACTCATCGTATTATCTAAGTTTAATATTATTCTTAATGTATACAACATTTATCACTGGTACTACTACTGATAATCATAATAATAATGATAATATTAGTAAGCAGAATCACCGATCTCTTGATGACATCTTCAACATCTCAGAAGATTTGATCTCAACAACTATTCAACCAGTATTAAATAGGATTTATACACTTCTGTTAGACAACATAAAGTGCGATCGTGAGAAAATTTTACATCTGCTGAAATCATCTCTAGAAGTTCAAGGAGGAGCAACAAGAACGCCGACAGCGACCCAACCGTCTTGTACAGTGAATGATTTTTGTAAGGAATTTTTATACTATTTAGAACAACGTGAATGTTTTGTTCAAGGTTTAATGATGAATTAATAATCATTTTCATTATTGATTGTATTCTGGATAATCTAGTAAGCACAACAGATTAATTCTGGACAGTGTTTATGTGATGTGTAGAGTTTGCCATTCGGGCAGAAATCGGCGCAAAAAAAGGGAAAATTAATGTTTAAAAGGGGAAATATTGCTGAAATAATAGTTAAAGTGGGAGAGTAGTGCGTAAATACTGGGGAAATATTGATTGAAATTGTTGGGAAATATTGTTCATTGAGTGGTCATAAACGGCGGGACATTGGCTAAAATTTAGTCAGATAATGTTCACAATTGTAAAGATTATGCCATATAACCAAAATTTGTCCATGTTTTCCTACTATTTGTCATGCCCCGTTATTTGTGTCCCGAAAAAACTACTCTACACGAAACATCAATTCATTCGAGATATGTCTGCTGAAACACTAAAAAATCGACTGTCGCGTTCACTTAAGAAGACCTTCTTCGCAGCTGAACTACGACTAACATTCTCCACAAAACCTATGATTCATGTGGACGTGAAGGATAAGCTACCACTGTTGGTCTCATCAATGTATATTTATCAATCCACCTACTCGTGTGGAGTTAGGTATGTCGGCCGAAACTAGCGTTCGCTTTCCAAATGTATCACCGAACACTTACCAACATGGTTTTACAAGGGAGAGGAACGATGTCCCCGCAGCTGCATCGTAGAATATCTGATAGAATCCGGACACCTAGCTGCACCCCAAACAAACTTCGAAGTAGTCTACAGAGTAAGAAGTAGTCTTCCTAAGGGTGTACTAATCAGACTTCTTCAAACTTCAGAAGCAATGGCGATTCATTTGCTAAGCCCTGAACTCTGCATACAGAAAAAGTTCGTTCAATCAATACACTTGCAATAGACGTAATCTATGTTATTACCCGACAAGTAAATTCTACCTAATCTTTTTTTCTGTCTCTTCATTAGTATTATTTTGTCTTCTCAATTGTAATATTTTACATCTTCAACTTTTTTGTTCTCTATCCCCACCCGATTTAATTTCTACACCTCACTACCACTGACATTCATGTTACGTCATGCAATTTATTTGTTCAATTTCAGTCTTAATTTAAATGGCATTATTCTCTACCCCACTTCTGCTTAGTCTCTACCTGTAATTACCTCTGTTGCTATCCTGACCTAAGTTGAAACATTTTAGTCAACTATATTACGTCATCTAACTTACTAACTCAATCTTACTTTAGTTGATGTCTAATTAACCTTGTTTCTATATTAGATCATTCTTCTATTATCTGATCAATTATCTAAACTTGACAAACTTTATGTACACACACACACACACAAATAATTACATATAAATCCGATTGTACAGCTATGTGAATGAATTCGCCGTCGAAAAGAATCTCTTTGCTGAACGTCTTCTCTTTTTCATATGACTCAACAGGGATTTTTAAGCTACAATAAGATTTATCAAGTGGGGGTCTGCAGGGATTTCATTGGTTACAGACTCAATCATGAGTTGATATCAGTTAGAAAGTCATTGGACAAACTGAGAGTACTGGAAGTCTGGTTCGTCTTAGTTAAGTGACAGTACATCATGAGATACAATGCTATCTGAGTTGAAACGCAAACCAATCTATCTCGATACTTTTTCCTTGTCTCTGTCATGACACACACGACAGTTGGTTGAAAACCAGTTGTAAAGTGATGAGGAGTACATTCTGAGACCCGAGAACACAGTACAGCAACAGTCACCTCATGTATTGTAATACGCCGCCAATCACGATTATGCTTTTTCTCAAGTTTAGTAAAAACTGGAGAGTCACCACGTTGTAAACACTTCAAATACTCGCAAGAGTAAATAATACCATCAGAAGGTCATAATTTAATAGATTAAACCAAAGTGAACAAGAGATATTATGAGCAATATAATGATGCTGATTTTCGATACCAATTAGATGAGAATGATCGAAAACCAGTGAGTACTGGATGTTTGTTTCGTGACTCCACAACAACATTCATCAACAGTCACATTGGCGATCGAAACTAGGATGCCAATTGCGTTGTATATCATGAATTCACAGAAATCATAATCTCAGGTGAAAAATGTTTGCACTGCATACAGAACTCCATCCACCCAATCGATGAAACAACTTCTTAGTGTCGAAATGTCGATGCCATATTTTTTAGTTTGCAACAATGAAGGTCATGCTTCCCACTTACTCAGATTAGTCAATCACGCATATATCAATATTGAATTCACTATGGAACATGAAAGAGAGGGAAATTTCCACTCATCCTGTTTCCATCATATTATAATCACGTATTTGCATTTCCTAGTGTACTTCATTTTCCGGTCATCTATTTAACACATGTCTATTGGGCTTTAGATTGACTTCCTTTTAATTTACTCATCGCATATTAGTTTGTTTATTAGATGTATCGCACAGTGGAGAGACAGTATTATTTACTGGATGATGTTTCGAACACAATCAAGTCTTGTTCATAATCATATCAGTTATCACCACACGACTTCGAAACTTGAGTTTTATAGTTTTCCTTGTTCTCTCTTATTTGTCGTCGTTGGGGTAGTAGAATTTTCCAAATATCTGGCTAGACAGGTGTTGAATCTCCCCTGTTGCACGTGTCGGCTTGCAGTTGATTCGATGAACAAAGCTTCTGTTATCAATCTCTCCCTCCACCCTGTGACATTAGATTTTAAAACTGTCATCTTATCCCAACCGTCCTATTGTATGGCTGTGTGTAATTACATGTAGTGAGTGGTATAGCTGAACTATTCTCTAAATTTCTTTTCTTATTTGAGTCAACTAACCTAGATTTTGCTAGATTTTTGTGCTCCACTAGTATGATTGACCCCGTTCTACTACTTTTATCCATGTATTTGACCTGACAATCATTCCAGCAGCGTATTAGATAAACTAAATCGTTTTGTTTAGTGGGCTCCATAGGATCCTTTAACCGACAAAGCTTGTTTCTAATTGAGTTTTTGGGTTTGAATGCCAACCACTTTTATTCCTGCCCTGTTAAGAATTCTGCGTAAGGTTTTCGAGGTCCCTTCCTTGTATGGAATTACTAATGATGATTTAGATTCCTCATTGTTGGTGTCGCCATTAATATTATTATTATTATCATTACTACTGTTATCATTATTATTATCACTATCGCTACTATCATAATTTATTTTATTTTTACATTTCCTTACATATTTCCTGACTAATTTATCAGGGAAATTATTAAGTTTCAAGGCTTCTTTTATGTGTATCACTTCCTGTCCTAGATTTTCTTTGGTACAACTTAGTTTTTGTGCTCTGTCATTTAAACAGTTCACCAATCCTTTTTTCACCGACATAGGATGGGATGTTCGGAAGTCCAGATATCTGTTTGAATGTGTGCGTTTCCTGTAAACACACTATTGCTTAACTTCCCATCTTCTTTACTTTTTACGCTACAATCTAACATTTGAAGCTCCCCTGATATGTATCCATATAATAGGTGTGTTTGTTTGACAGTCTGATATATTTTGCTATGTATATATGGATCGATATTCCATTATAATTAGCCAATCATGTTAAGACTGTCTACTGATTTGTTCATTTTGAATATTCGCTCACATACTTCTGTTCACACACTTGTTCGGACATTCATATATATTTTGCTCTCACACACTTGTGTGACATTTTTGATTCTCCTTGTGTTTTTGAAAATAGAAATATCATCGCAAACCTAGTGGTCTTCTGATTTCCGTCTTTCTTGCGTCAGAACTATTAAATTCTCGACCAGTACATAACATCCCCTTCTTGACTTTCCAATTCATAAGTGAATTGAATTGCCTCCACCTTTGATTTTTTTTTATTTTCCCTCAAGTTCCACAGTGGAACATAGTGCTCCAAGCTAGTGGCTTGGAGTTTCTGTAGCAGTGTTTATTTTACAGTTTGGGGTTGCTAGCCTCATGCCCAACCTTACCTCTTTACGAGCATTATTTCTGGCTAAGTGAGGTAAAGAAGTGCGTCGGTCCGGGATCGAACCCCGAACTATGTGCATGGTCGGCGAGCGTTCTAACTGCTATACCACCGACGTTCACCTTTGAGTTAATGTGTTCGAAAAATCTGTCTATATCCTGTGTTCCTAGTGTAACAACAGAAGACAAGGGCGAAGCAACAGATCGTTTTATTATGAAAATCAACACGTATTTATACATCTTTCAACTACATTATTATAGACAAGCGCAGTCATCTGATTGGTTGTTTAGGTAGACAAACGCAGGCTTCTGATTGGTTGTTTCGGGATTCCTTGACAAATAGAGTTCTCTCTGCGAATCATATTTTGCCACGTTAACTTTGCTGTGATTGGTTGTTGACTCAGGCTTGTTCATATTTTCTCACGGCCCATATTAGTGACCTAGACCTTAACGTAGATTAGTGCCAACCAATCGGCTAGCAGCCTGCTCTCACCACACTCGTCCCCCCGTCAAATAGCTTCGTGCGCAGACGTTCCGACCTTCTGGGTGCTACATCCTCTAGTTGAGGATTGTTACTGACCGGCTTGTCCCACTGTACCCATCTTTGGAGCTGACTGGCGTTAACTCGTTTCTGTTTATCACCTCTTCGGATGGTATATACTTGACCCCGTCTTTTTGTGATTGTGTATGGTCCTTCCCACTTTGGAAGGAGTTTCCGTGAACCTAGCCCGCCTCCAACTGTATATCTCCTGTCTCTACACTTCACTTGGTCCCCGACTGCAAAGGTAATGCACTGCGTCCTTTCTTTCATCTGAGACTTCATGACATCACTGCGCTGCTTCCGTATTACATTCTTGACTGCCTCTTTCCTCTCTGCTTTTAATTTCGTCGTACTCCACTTTTGGTGCATGGGCCAGGTCTCATTGTGTACCGGTAATCGTGGTTTTCTACCATACATCAGTTGGAAGGGTGACTTCTTCGTTGTTTCCTGAGTGGTAGCGCGATGTGTTAGTAAAATCAGTGGAAGCTCCGTTTCCCAGTTCCCGCCCTTCGAGGCCAGCCACTCCTTCAGTGTACGGTTGTTTCTCTCCGTTAGGCCATTCGTTTGTGGATGGTATGGGGTCGTTCTGATCCTCTTGATGCCCAGCTGTTGCAAACGGGAAGTAAACTCTTCACTCTCGAAACAGGGACCTTGGTCTGTCAGTATTGTCTTCGGTACGCCGTGGTCTGCAACAATGTGTCTAACTACTGCATCTGTCACGGTTCTTGCACGTTGGTCTGGGATTGCTACGGCGTCTACCCATCGTGTCGCGTGTTCCGTCATCACCAAGAGGTACTGA